TTTTTGGTTTTTCTCTGGTACCGGGAACCGAACTCACGACCTTGCGCTTGCCAGGCAGGCGCTTTTGCCGCTGAGCTAAATCCCCAGCCCCTCTCATTAATTTTTAAGGGAGAGAAGAATCCCATTTAGATGGCAACCTCTGGATTTTCAGATTTGTTTGACCCTCACAATCCTGTCTTCATCTTCGGTGAACATATCCGCATTCTTTTGGGGGAAGACGCCCTCTGCTCTGTCCCTCCACCACCCCAACTCTGCACTCCCTCCTCTCACACTGCACCAGTCTTGTTTCGACCCCCTGGCTCTGCCCAGTCTAATAGGAAGACACTGAAATCCTTAACCTCTACCTGTCCCAGCACGGCAACTGGCTGATAACAACCTTTTGTCTTGTGTTTCCCTTTCTCTTAAAAATGTTCCTTTCCAAACATCCTGGGGAGTTTCCACAGGGTAAATACTCAAACAGAAGTTTATCATGGCCCAGGGAGTGGCTCAGGGTTAGAGTGCTTGCCTAGAAAGCATGGGACTCTAGCTTCAATCCTTAGCCCTGCAAGAAAAAAAATACAAGTGTTTATTGCATGAGTGCATTTATTCTGTCCCTTACCCAGACTTTTCTCTTCCTTTCCTTTCCTTTCCTTTCCTTTCCTTTCCTTTCCTTTCCTTTCCTTTCCTTTCCTTTCTTCTCTTCCTTTCTTCCTTTCTTTTTGGTACTGGTGACTGAACACAGGGTCTTTGCACTGAGCTACATCCACAGCCCTTTATAAAAATTTTGTTTGTTTTTGTTTAGTTTGAGACAGTCCTAATACGTAGTTCAGGCTGGCCTTGAACTCACTATGTAGTCCAGGCTGGCCTTGAACTCATGGCAATTCTCCGGCCTCAGCCTTCTGAAAATTTTCAAAAATATTTTTTTGTTTTTGAGACACAGTCTTGCTAAATCGCCCAGGCTGGACTTGAGTTTACAATCCTCTTGCCTCAGCCTCCCAGAGTCCTGGGAGTACAGGTGTGGGCCACTACACCCAGCTTCCAGACTTTTTCAGTCCTTACCTCAGGTGGTTTCAAGAAGGTTCTACACAGACCTTTGGTTTTTCTTGCTCACTCTCAGACCAATGGTTAGTAGACATTGATTCTGTTTCCCGTTTCCTACTTTAAAAGTTTTTTTAAGACCTCAAAAAACACCATAAAATCCATCTGTTTTTAAGTGAACATATCAGTGATTTTTTTTTTTAGTGAATTTACAGAATTGTGCAAACATCACCCAATCAGGTTTTAGATGATTTCCATCATTTCCCAAATATCTCTTATACTCATTTGCTGTCAATTCTCACCCCCAGAGCCTACTAGGAGTCTGCTTTCTGTCTTTATGGAGCTGCGTAAAAAAAATGAAAATTCAGCTGGACATGGTGGTACACACCTATAATTCCAGCACTCTGGAGGCTGAGGCAGGAGGATCACCTTGAGTTTGAGGTGAGCATAGGCTACAAAGTGAGTTTTCGGGCAGTCTCTACTACATAGCAAGACCCTGTCTTACACACACACACACACACACTCTCATATAAATGGATCATATATTACATAATATGTAGTTTTCTGTATCTGGCTTTTTCACTTAGTATGATGTTTTTGAGGATCACCATTGTAGCGTGCCTCACTATTCAGTTCCTATTTATTCATAGTCTCATGAATATTCTACATTTTATTCCTCCATTCACCAATTGATGGGCATTAGATTGTCTTCACTTTTTGGGCATATGTATGAAAAATGCTGTTCTGAGCATTCACTTACAAGTCTTTGTGAGGATTTATGTCTTCATTTCTCTTACACAGATTTCTACAGGTAGAATTGCTAGTACTTTTTTTTTTTTTTTTTTTTTGAGAAAGGTTTTGCTATGTAGTTCAGGTTGGCCTTGAACTCACTATGTAGGCCAGGCTGGCCTCAAACTTGCAGCAATCCTCTTGCCTCAGCCTCCTGAGTGCTGGGACTACAGACATGTGCCACTATGCCTGGCAGAATTGCTAGTATTATATGTTTGTGCATAGCTTTTAAGAAACTGCCAGTTTTCTGAGGTTGCTGGAATGTGTGAGGGTTCTGGTTTCTCTACATCCTCACCAACACTTGCCTGGTCTTTTTCATCACAGATGTTCTAATGGGCATGAAATAATCTTATTGTAGTTTCAACTTGCATTTCCCTAATGGCTGATGATGTTGAATATCTACCCAATTGCTTATTAGTTATGGCACATCTTTTGGTTTGGTTTGGTTTGGTTTTTTTCTGGTACCGGGAATTGAACTCACAACCTCGTGCTTGCCAGGCAGGCGCTGTGCCACTGAGCTAAATCCCCAGCCCCCATGTTTTGTTTTGTTTTGTTTTTTGAGACAGAGTCTTGCTGTGCAGTTCAGGCTGATCTTGAACTCACTGTATAGCCCAGCCTGGCCTTGAACTCACATCAATCCTCCTGCCTCAGCCTCCCAAGTGCTGGGATTACAGACATATGTCACCATGCCTAGCTTGCTATGGGACATCCTTAGTAGAATGTTTATGCAAATCTTTTGCACTTTTTTGAGACAGGGTCTCATCCTGTAGTTCAGGCTGGCACTGAACTTACAGCATTCTTCCTGCCTCAGCCTCATTAGTCCTAGGACTATAGGCATGTGCCATCTTGCTAAGTATTTTTACACTTTTTTTTTTTTTTTTGTACTCAGGACCTTGTACTTGCCAGGCAGGCGCTTGTGCTGCTGAGCTATATCCCTGGCCCTTTACACATTTTTAAATTGAGTTCTTTCATCTTCTTCCTTCCTCCCCTTCCTCCCCTACTACTGGCAACTGAACCTAGTCCAACAGACTGAGGCTAGACCACAGCCAAACTGAACTTTCAGGATAGGTCTTGAATTATTGTGCTTCATAGGCTGAGTATGAATTTTTAGAACTGGACTCCAGCCCGATCCTCTCTAATGGGTGTGTGTTTGTGAGATGTATCTAACATCTAGATGAGCAAAACTTTGGTTATTGTATTAGATACACTGACCTTCAAAAGTGGTTTCCTATTTTATTTTTTTGAGACAGGTTCTTGCTATGCACTTCAGGCTTGTCTTGAACCCACTACAGAGCCCAGGCTGGCTTCAAAGTCACAGCAATCCTCCTGCCTCAGCCTCCTGAGTGCTGGGATTACAGGTGTGTGCCCACCATGGCCAGCTGCTTTCTTGTTTTAATATGGAAGGTTCTTGTACATGTTTAGACTGTTGTATATGCTGCTATCTCCCCAGATTCTAGAATAGTACAGGCTCAGGCTATCGTAGGTGCTTATTAGGATGCATAATAAATGAATGACACTTTATGGAGTATAACTTAATAGCTATTTAGAATGGACACAGCCATCAGCTCCCTTTTAGGGATTTATCCCACAGATAGCCTCACATGTGTGCAAGACAGAGAACATACAAGGTTATTTGCTGTAACATTGTTTGCAACAGTGACAAGAAAAAATTACCAAAGTTCAACTTTTAAAATAAATCACCTACATTTACACAATGGAATAAATGAGATTCTATGCAGATATGAAAGGACCTCTCTTTTTTTTTTTTTTTTTTTTTTTTTTTTTTTTTTTTTGTCTTTTTGAGACAGGGTCTCACTATGCAGTTCAGGCTGGCCTTGAGCTCATTTTGTACCCCAGGCTGGTCTTGAACTCGCAACAATCCTCCTGCCTCAGCTTCCTGGGTGCTGGGATTACAGGCGTGCACCAACACACCTGGCAAAGATCTCTCATTCTGGAAATTCTTTTGCTATCTTTGGCAAATATGTATGAGACATGAGTATCCAAAGGCCCTGGCGGTATCACTACGTAACTGATCCATTTTAGTGAAGTGTTTCATGCTAAGAGAATAAAGAGAAATAAATAATTTCTGCAGTTTTATTTAATGAATGTTAATTTCCTTGTAGAAAACATAGGATCTCTTCCAATTAAATAACATTCTAGTAAGAACAAATGTATCTGTGCACAGATAACCTTGTTAAACAAAGATTCTCTCTTTTTCTTTTGGTACCAGGAATCGAACTCAGGACCTTGCACTTGCCAGGCAGGTGCTGTGCCACTGAGCTATATCTCTGGCCCAGATCCTCTCTTTATAGCTCCAAATTTCATGCACAAACTGGCAGTACTATTGTCCATGAATTGTGGGTGGATTTCCCGTTTGACAAACCAACCTCTCATCTATGGGAAGAGGCTCCAGGTTTCAGAATGTGTCTAGTGTGCACTTCCTGACCCTGAGGGGCGAAATTCCCCTGTTGTTCATAACATGATTATCCACTGCTAGCTGTAGGGCACTACGCAGGAGTTAAACATACACAAAACTGTGTCAAATACAAATACAGACAGATACACCGGGTAACTCTCCGATCTTGTCAAACTATAACTTGCTCATTGTTCCTCAAAAAGCATTTCTAGTTTTTGTCATTCTACCATTTTCCCTCTTTTTCTAATTGCGCTCCTGTGGAATCCTACGCAAGCTTCTAGCTAAACACTGCCATTGCGGGCCAAGCACAACCCCACATCTCTCCCTTAAAAGGAAGTCTTCCCTGACTATTTTACCCTATAGTAACCTAAGCTCCAATCTTCCTTGGCCTTTATCGAGCATCTGCCTCTAACGCTTTTGCTGCTTAGAAGTATTAATTAGCTTTCCACAAGTTTTCTGAGTTATCTTCCATTAGCTTGCAAACTCCTTACCGGTAGACTCTTCCACTGTTTTTCCTGTATTTCTTTCTTTTTTTTTTTTTTTTTTTTTTTTTTTTTTTTTCTCCAGTACCAGGAACCGAACTCACGACCTTGCGCTTGCCAGGCAGGCGCTTTTTGCCGCTGAGCTAAATCCCCAGCCCCTTTCCTGTATTTCTTATACACCTACATAGTAGGTATAAATGTCTTGGTTTGAAGACCCAACCTATACATTTAGGGTTCTTGGTAGACTTTTCTAGAATCAGTCTATGCTGCTTGTAAACACATGGGCGTCCTGCCGGCCTGGTTGAGCGTGTGGTGTCAGAACTCGTCAGCTGACTCTGTGTCCCAGCCGCAGGACTGCAGCTCATCCTGTGCGAACTCAACCTCGATGTCATACACAAAATCTGGATCATCCTTCTTCTTCTGATTTTTCTCAAAGAGTTCATCCATGATGCTCTTCCTTTTGGCAAGCTCCTTGTCATCTAATTTGTTCATGTCTTCCTCAGGATCGATGGCTGTTTCCCGCTGAATTTGCTCCATCGTTGCCGCCAGGCTCTGTCCACACAAGTGACCTTGTAAAAGAGTGAACAGCTTCTCCAGCTGCTTTGGGGATACCTCCTCCAGGTAACTCTTGTGGCGCGGATTATTCTTTAATTGTTCAGCAGCTCTGGTGCAGTCTAAGAGGGAGGGAAAAAACACCCTGTCTACTGCATATATCATGTATGCCACAATTTCTGCACCATGAACTATTACAAGGGCCAAAACAGAACAGAAAGCTCCAAGCCCCGAAATCGTCTCCATGATAGCCAAGTGGCTAAATGGCTTTATTGGAATAAATTATTCAATTTTTTTTTTTTTTTTGGTACCAGGAATCGAACTCAGGACCTCACGCTTGCCAGGCAGGTGCTTGTGCCGCTGAGCTATATCCCCGGCCCTGGAATGAATTACTGTATAAACCTCTTCCTTGTAATAAATTGAGCTTGAGTGTAGAGGTGGAAAGGTGCGTATATTTTTGGACTTCTGTAACTTAAGATCACAGGGAGAGATGCTAAAAGCTTTCAACTAAAGAAAATGTCTTGAGAATTAAAAATGACATTATAGCTTTAGACAGCAGTAGTGGTATTAATAAACTATCAAGACTATAAATTAGGGCAACCCACTTGGGACACCTCCCGTCTCTCAGGAGCTATTGCTATTCCCCATGCCTATTCCCCATTCATTTTCTCCAATAAAAAAATTTGTTTTTAATTTTCTACTCTGAAAGGAAGACTATATACTTAAAAATTTGGAGGTAGAGACAGGAGGTAGAGGCAGTTTAATCCATAACACTCCTCAGAGGACTAAATTATCAAACTAGAAAAAAATGATCCAAACCTTTTGTATCTTAGGAAACTGAAGCTCAGTAACAGTAAATAATTTGGCAAGGCCATGCATCTAGTCCCTGACAGAGGCATGATTTGATCCTAAGGCTGTGGGCTCTGAAGGCCATGTTACCACACTGCGGGAGATGGTGCCTGCTAGGTGACTTATAGCCTATTTTAGCTAAGAGGCAAGATTAAACATGAGGTACCTGAGAACTTGGAAAAGTTTCGGACTGGCATGATGCGCTGGCGATTCTTCCCCTTGACTTCATTCTCATAAATTAAAATAATAGCTGGAGGCTGGAATCTGATTCCACATTTCTTGGCAGTGCACATCGTTCTCACATATATTTCGGTATAAATCACAGGAAATCTGATGCAAATGTGTCAGCCGCATAGTAATTTCCTGCTGAAGGGAAGAAACCCTGTAACACCTAGGTATTGGGCAAATCACTTTCCCTCTACTCCTCCTCCCCAGTAGGGTTGGCCCTGGTCTAGATCTGGAAATGCAGGTTTGGCCTGGGAAGTGCAATACTTGGAGGCCTGGACGTTAACTTCGTTTGTTGGATCTTTCAGACTCTGGTCCCCTGAAGGATGCAGGGTTGTTTGTTCACAGGTAAGGCTAGTTTTAGTATATGTGCTGCCGAAGCGAGCACTGCGCAATTCAGTTTGTGTTTAGTACACTGTTTGGTGTGCCCTTACTGAAGACCATATGTGAACCCCTAACTGAGCCCAAGGACTGATGCATGGCATCCTTTCTATTATCAACTAAGGAGGTATATATCAAATGTTCTGGTCTGTATCAAAGTACTATGGGTTTTTTAACCTTAAACATATCCTGAGAGGTTCACCAGACGAGATATGCCTCCCTTGTATTTCCTCAATTATTTCACTCAGTAAGAGTTTTTTTTTTATCATTAGTCGTTTAAACATCTATCTTCCCTTCTAGCCTATATGCTCCTTCTAGTCTATATTGGGAGCATATCTATTTTTTCAGCATAATCTCTCATCAAGATACGTGGAATGCAGTAAATGTTGCACACACACTTGTTTAAGGCTATGTATTAATATACAAGACATGGCTCCTATATATCACCTAAGTATTTACAATCTAGAAGTCTGATCCAAAATGCAGACCTGACCTAGGTATGGTGGCGTATTCCATTAATCTATTCTATTTGGAAGGCTGAGGCAGGAGGACTGCAAATTCAAGGCCAGCCTGGAAAACTTACTGGTGCCCTGTTTAAAAATAGAACGAAGAGGAAAAAAAATAGAATGAAAAGGTCTAGGGCTATAGCTCAGTAGCAGAGTTCTTGCCTAGCATGCACGAGGATCTGGGTTTAATCCCTATTACTGGAGGGGCGCGAGGGCAAGAGGCACATCATATGAAGAATCAACTTCTCTGTGTAAGACAGTAATGTTTACATTTTACACGGCTTTTGTTACAACTTATTTGTCTCGCTATATATTTTTCCTGTTATAAGAAACACTATGGTTTGCAGATTATGTACTTTCTATTGTCTCCTTCCTTCTCCACCTTCACAGCCAAACTACATTTAATTTAGGAATTGCTTTCAATGTGGCTATAATAGGCTCAGAAAGGCCGGGTGTGGTGGCGCACGTCTGTAATCCCAGCACTCGGGAGGCTGAGGCAGGAGGATCATTGCAAGTTTGAGACCAGCCTGGGCTACAAAGTGAACTCAAGGCCAGTCTGAACTGCACAGCTTCTGAACTGCATAGTGAGACCCTGTCTCAAAAAGACAAAAAAAAAAAAAAAAAGGCTCAGGAAGATTTGTAAATGTCAAAAATTTTGGCATAGGATGATATCATTATCACCCTAGTTTTGTTGGAGAATCATTGTAGGAGCAGAGTTTTTAAAAATTTTAGTTGGGGCTGGGGATATAGCTCAGTGGCATAAGTGCTTGCCTCGCAAGCCTGAGGTCATGAGTTCGATTCCCAGTACCAAAAAAAATTTTTTTAGCTGGACATGGTGGCATATGCCTATAATCCCAGCACTCTGGAAGCTGAGGCAGGACAATTGCCATGAGCTCAAGGCTAGCCTGGCCTATGTAGTGAGTTCAAGACCAGTCTCAACTACATAGTGAGACCCCGTCTCAACACAAGAACAACAACAAACTAATTATACACAAGCACTATGGAAAATTTGGGGCAAGGGTAGAAGAAAACATCACCCAGTCTTCTGTCCTAGGCATATAGTTTTATTTTTTTAATTATAGGTATTTGTATATCATTCATACTGTTTCCTAAGTTATAAAAGTTAGCCCATATGATCATTTCATCATTAAATATTTTACTAATATGCAATTTTAATCTGATTGCCAAGTGGATTTGTCTTACAGATATACCATAATCTATATTATCAATTCTTATTGTTGGATGTGAGAATCTTTACTCTTAGAAAGTTGTCATGCCAGGTGTGGTGGTGTAATCCCAGCACTTGGAAGGCTGAAGCAGGAGGATTGCTGTGAGTTCGTGGACTCACAGCACAGTGTTTCTCTCTTTTTTTTTTTGGTCTTTTTGAGAGAGGGTCTCACTATGCTGTTCAGGCTGGCCTTGAGTTCACTTTGTAGCTCAGGCTGGTCTCAAACTTGCAGCAATCCTCCTGTCTCAGCCTCCCAAGTGCTGGGATTACAGGTGTGCGCCACCACGCCCGGCACAGCAGAGTGTTTCTTATAACTGGGTTACATAGTCAGTTCAAGGTCAGCCTGGACTATACAGCAAAACCCTGTCTCGAAAAAAAAAAAAAAAAAAAAAAAAAAAAAAAACGAACAAAAGCCAGGCGTGGTGGCACACACATGTAATCCCAGCACTCCAGAGGATCATTGCGTGTTCAAGACCAGCCTGAGCTACTGAAGCGCGAGACCCTGCCTCAAAAAAAAAAAAAGGAAATTAGCCATAAGAATGATTTTTTCAAAGCTGGGAGCAGGCTTGGCATGGTGGCACACACCTGTAATCCCAGCAGTCAGGAGGCTGAGGCAGGAGGATCGCTGCAAGTTGAGACCAGCCTGGGCTACAAAGTGAGCTCAAGGCCAGCCTGAACTGCATGGTGAGACCCTGTCTCAAAAAAGACAAAAAAAACAAAACAAAACAAAAAAACAAAGCTGGGAGCAGTGGTGCATGCCTGTAATCCCTGCACCTTAGGAGGCATAGGTAGAAGAGAACAGTAAATTCAAGCCCAGCCCAGGCAACTTGGCAATTTACAAGGGGCTTTCTCTCTCTCTCCTTTTTTTTTTTTTTTTTTTTTCCGTCTTTTTGAGACAGGGTCTGTTATGCAGTTCAGGCTGGCCTTGAGCTACTCTGTAGCCCAGGCTGGTCTCCAGCTCGCAAGGATCCTCCTGCCTCAGCCTCCTCAGTGCTGGGATTACAGGCATGTGCCACCACGCGCAGCACAAGACCCTTTCTCAAAAAAAAAAAAAAAAGAAATTCTAAGGATGTAGCTTGGTGGACAAACCTTGTGTTCAGCCTCTAACACCAAAATAAAAAAAAGAAAACTGCTTTGTCAAATTAGTATAATCTACCTTTGATCTGACACAATGTCAAATACTGCTCCCAGTCTATCTCATTAAAATTTGTTTTGTTTTGTTTTGTTTCTTGTTTTTTTTTGAGACAGGGTCTCGCTATTCAGTTCAGGCTGACCTTGAGCTCACTTTGTAGCCCAGGCTGGTCTCCAACTTGCAACGATCCTCCTGCCTCAGCCTCCCAAGTGCTGGGATTACAGGCGTGCGCCACCACACTCGGCTAAAATTTGATTTTATACACTTTCTAAGAGATCCTAGTGAGAACAATATAAATTGTTAGCATTCAAGCAAATGGACATTCTTGTGAATGATGCATACAATTAATACTAGGAGGTGCGAGGTTTTTTTAACCCTAGATTCTTCTTTACTGTCCTCTGTCCTATCCCTCTCCATAAGCAACCAATTTCAATTCTTTTAGTCGCCCCTCCCAAAATATTTATTTTTGTTTTTCTTACTGACACGCTTACACTGCTATTTTCAGTTTACGATAGACACGCACCCTCTCCTTCTCTTTGAGATATCCGCCCTAGAGCTCCGTTCTGTTCCAATCTGCACTGCGTGCTCTCTAGGCCTGCTTACAGAGTCCGTCCGGCTCAGGATCAGGGACGGCACATTTAACCTGATTTTTCTCGGACGTGAACACCTTCCTGCCCAACGACCACAGACTGTCACGATCTAGATTAACTGTCCCCTCTCGTCTCCACAGCATCTAACGGGTACGGATTTCTCAGTGACTAGACGATTTTTTCCTTACGTCCCCACCGTGCAGGAATAACTTTCTTACCCTTACACAAACCCAGAAAGTGCATCTTCTCCTGCAGGCCAACGTCTAAATCTCCAAGAAAGCGTTATTTCCACTCAACCGCATTGCACAGAGGAGCATTTAAATTGATTTTGACGCCAGAGGCGACAGTCACAGCCCGCTGACGTGAAGGTGGGGTGGAGCACCCGGCGGTAGAGGAGGAGATCGCAGGGACAGCTGCAAACCGTCTTCCGGTGCTACTAGCCCCGCAAAGTTACAGAGGGGGCGTGCCCTGCCGTTCCCATAGCAACACCCCGGAAGTGCGTCACGTCGCTTGCGCCGCTTGGCGCAAGAGCACACTGAGGGGCTGGAGCTGTGGAAATAGCTGGGCCGCGGGCGCGTGCACGCGCTAAAGCCGCCTCCTGGGTCTCCAAGTTCGTGGCAGCGCGCTCTCCGGGTGGCCGAGGGCCAGGCCAGCTCCCTCTTGCGTCCACGGCTTGTCCCGCACGCCCTTCGCGGGCGTCCAGCCTCCGGCGCCCTGGCTGCCTGGGCCGTGGCCTGGCTGCCGGTCGCGGCGGCTTGGCTCGGAGGCGCGCTCACCACGGGTTTCAGCGACGCCCCCGCCGGCTCCGGTAAGGGGCGGGGCTTCGGGCCCGGCGCGGGGACGCCGCTGGAGCGGGAGGAGGCTCGGACGGCGGCGCGAGCCGCCACGCCTTCCCCGCACTTCCAGCTCTGCTGCCGACCCGGGGTGCAGAGTCCTGCCTCGGACCAGCGTCCAGGCTGCTGATGCTACGCGTGATCACCTCGGGGCCCCTGCAGCCCGCGCGCACGTCCTTAGATCGGAGTCCGCGCTCCTCGCCCTGAGCTGGAAGTGCAGTAAGGGAGACAGACACTGCGAGAGTCGTTAGAATAAAGTGGTAGGGCCGGGGGTATATAGCTCAGCGGCACAAGAGCCTGCCTAGCAAGCGCAAGGTCCTGAGTTCGATTTCCGCTACAAAAAGTAATGATAATAGTAATAATAATAAAGTAGTGTTTGCTAGGGGAAGGAAAGCGCAAACCCGGTGAGTTTCTCAGCTGTCAGAGGAGGACGTTCGACTAATACCTGTCAAAGCGCGCAGTTCTTTGAGACAGGGTCTATGCAGTTCAGGCTGACCTTGAGCTCACTTTGTAGCCCAAGCTGGTCTCGAACTCGCAACGATCCTCCCGAGTGCTGGGATTACAGGCATGCGCCACCACCCCTGGCTCAAAGCGCGCAGTTCTGTCTGTGTGTATTTACGTATTAGATGTCCAGATTGTTTTTTTTTTTTTTTTTTTAAAAAACAGGGTTTTGCAGTGCAGTTCAGCCTGGCCTTAAACTCACTTCGTAGCCCAGGTTGGCCTCGAATTCACAGCGATCCTCTTTCCTCAGCCTCCTGAAGGCTGGGATTACAGGCGTGTGACGCCTGGCTAAGATTTATTAAAGAAGAATTACGATGAAGCCAAGAAGAATTTTTAAAGCAAATGGACTTGCTGTCTCTAAACACTCTTTCAGCATTGGCATTTTATGCTTACAGGGGTTTCAGTTTTCTGAAGCAGTTCAGACTACCACAACCAAATAAAGTAATAAAGTTTAAGAGGGAAAAAAAAAAAAAAAAACTTTAAAAAGTGAGTGCAGAGACAACATCCTCGTTTTCAAAAATGACAAGTTTGCCCTAAAAATAATGAATACACAGTGTTTGCAGTATTTGCAACTAGCTTTTCCAACACCCCAGGGTAAATGAGTTACTGCTCTAGAGTACATCCTAGTAGAATTTAGGCCAACTAAGCTTTTTTCTTCTAACTTGATCTTGTAGTTACGTATTAGCCCTTACTCTTCAGTTAAAATTATACATGAAGAAAAATCTGGATTTGTAGAAGAGCTGCATATAGCATATGTTTGTCTGGGAAAAGATTATATACTTCTTTAAAGCAAGACTCTTTTAAGGAGGCAAGTGAAAATATCTGAAGCTTTAAAAGTTAGGCAGATCTTACTTTTAATCACTTAGTTGCGTGACCCAGAGCTGGTTGCTGAATTTCCATCTGGGTTGAGTGTTTTGGATTTTTTTTTTTTTTTTTTTTGTCTTATTTGAGTCAGGGTGTCGCTATGCAGTTCACGCTGGCCTCAAACTCACAGTGATCCTCCTGCCTCAGCCTGCCCAGTGCTGGGATTACAGGAGTTATGTGCCACCACGCCCAGCACATAAAACAATCTCTCAAATCAGTATTTTTTTCTTTTCCAATTAGATTTTATTGCTACACTTTTAAGTATATATAGTGAGGGGCTGGGGATTTAGCTCAGCGGACAGCGATTGCCTGGCAAACGCAAGGTCATGAGTTCGATTCCCGGTGCCGGCAAAAAAACAACAACAACAAAAAACAAAAACCAATTAAGTATATATAATGGTTACATTCATCATAGAGAATTTGTACCTGCACATGATATAACTTTTTTTCTATTCCCCTACGCTCCCTTCAACCCCTCCACCTCTCCCTATTTACAAAGGCTTTCCATTTTTTCCTTCTTTTCTCATTTATTTTACTTTTCCCTTCTTTCCTTTCCCCTCCCCCTCCCTCATATCCCTTCCCATTTGAACGTTGTCTTCCTATTTCCCAATATCTACTGTACATTTTGATCCTTATTTATACTTTGTTTCTCATGCCAGCAAAACCATGTGGTATTTACACACGTGTGTCCAGTTTATCTCAAGAGTATGGTCTCCAGGTGCATTCATTTACCTAGAAATGTCTGAAGTTCTTCCTTTATGGCAGAGTAGTACTCCATTATATAAAAAACCACATCTTCTTTATCCATTCACCAGTTGATGGGCATTTGGGCTGTTTTCAAGATTTGGCTTTTACAAACTGTGCTGCTAGCTGGGTGTGGTGGCGCACACCTATTAAAATCCAAGCACTTGGGAGGCTGAGGGAGGAAGATTGCTGTGAGTGCCAGGCCAACCTGGACTACAAAGCGAGACCCTCTCTCAAAAAAAGAAAAACACAACTGTGCCACTATAAACATAGGTGTGCATATATTGCTGTGATATGCTTTTAATTCTTTTGGGAAGATACCAAGAAGGGGAATAGCTGGATCAAATGGAACCTCTAGTTTTCGTTTTTTTGAGGAATTTCCACATTGATTTCCACAGTGGCTACATCAGTGTACACACCCACCAACAGTGGAGAAGGGTCCCTTTTCCCCACAGCCCCTTCAGCATTTGTTATCAGTTGATTTCTTGATGACAGCCATGCTTTCTGGGGTGAGATGGAATGTCAGTGTTGTTTTAATTTGCATCTCCTGAGTGACCAGTGATGCTGAACATTTTTTCATGTATTTGCTGTTTGTATTTGTTCATCTAAGTGTATATTCATCTCAGATGCCCATTTTTTTAATTGGGTCTTTAAATTTGGGAGAGGCAGTCCCAAATCAGTATTTTTTTCCACATTAAAATCACGTTAATGAAGATAAAATTTGGTTGTAACACTGATTCCCTTTCACCTGAATATGTCAGAAATTTCCATGTTAAAATATATTTCCACTACTGCAGGGCATCTAAAGTAGATATATTTGAGATTGTAAAATAGAAAAGCTTGCTCATTTTTTTCACTTGAAATTCTTTTTTCCCTGTTGGGTTAGGGTTAGGGTGTAAGTCTTGTTTTTGCTTTTTCAATCAGAGTTTATTGGTGCATTTTAAATATATATAATGATCACATTCATCATAGAGAATTTGTACCTTTGCCTGATATAACTTGGTTTTTTTTCCCATTCTCTGCCCTCCCTTCAACCCTTTCTCCCCTCCCTATTTACAAAGGCTTTGTTTCCTTGTTTTCCTTTTTTTCATTTTTACTTTTCCCTTCTTTCCTTTCCCCCTACCCCCTCCTTTGTTCCCCTCCACATTTGAAAATTTTCTTCCTATTTCACAGTACCTATTATACATTTTGGTCCTTATTTACACTTTTGGTTTCTTATACCATATCATTCTTAATGTTAATCACTGTGCCATACTGAAAATAAATTTATATGTAGCTCAAACTGCTTAAGTTTTTAAAAGTTTTTGTTCTGTTTAAAAGTTAGATTTTAACTGGGTGTAGTGGTGCACACCTGTAATCCCAGCACTTGGGAGACTAAGGCAGGAGGATCACCGTGAGTTCTAGGCCAGCATGGGCTACAAAGTGAGTTTAAGGCCAGCCTGAACTGCATAGCAAAACTCTGTCTCAAAAAAAGTTAGATTTAAAAAGTTTTGTTAGGTTTTTTTTCTGGTATGTAAAGCCCATTTTTCTAATTACTTAATTATTCTTTCATTGGCTGCTTATTTTATTTTTTAAAAAAATCTTTTGATTCCTACAGGCGTGAGAGCCACTTGTCCTGAAATTATTTTGAGGCAAGAAGTTTTGAAAGATGGTTTCCACAGGTATGTTTTCCATTGATTTCTACCTAAAAATACTATTGTATAATTTAGAACAAAATATTGACACTTGAATAAATTAAAGTCATTTGCTTTCTTAAAGTGTTCCCCCCCACCCCAAACTTGCAGTGATTCTCCTGCCTCGCACTACAGGCATGTATCACCATGCTTGGCTGATTTCAATTTCTTCAAACTAGATTTTTCGCCAGGTAGGGTGCCTATAATCCCAGCCTTGGGAGGTACCCTCGGGAGACAGGAGGATCACTGCATGCTTGAGGCCAGCCTGGGCTCGATAGCAAGTTCAGGGCCAGCCTGAACTGCACAGCAAGATCTTGTCTCAAAAATAAACAAACAAGGTGCTGGGGATTTAGCTCAGCGGCAAAGCGCCTGCCCGGCAAGTGCAAGGTCGTGAGTTCGGTTCCCGGTGCCGGAGAAAAACCAAAAAAACAAAAAACAAAAAAACAAACAAACAAAAAAAAATAAAATAAACAAACAAACTAGATTTTTCATCACCAAGCATATGATTTTTCTTGCACAATTAAAACTGCTCTTTGTTTAGTAGAATATTCTATGACTGGTAAATCAATTTGCTGATATTATTCATGCCTTCTATATCTTTATTAATTTTCTGTATATTTGTTCTGTCAGTTACTGAAAGAGGGATGTTGAAGTCTCTGATTATTATTGTGGACTTGTCTACCTTAGTATTTCTTCCAGGTTTGGGTATGAAGTAAAATGTATGAATATTTTGAAACTGTTTTGAAGCAATTACAGTATATGTAGGATTGTTATATTGTCCTGAAGGATTGGTTGCTTTTATCTCTGTGTAATTCGGTTTTAATTACTTTTCTCATTGCTGAGATAAAATACCAAGCACCCACAAGCTAAGGGAGGAAAGTTCTGTTTAGCTCATAGTTTGTAGAGGTTTCAGTCCCATCGTTGGTTGGCTCCAAGCACGGTGGATGGCAGACAGGTATTGCAGAGGAGAAAGAGTTAGTGGGGCATGCAGAAGGAAGCAAAGCAAGCAAGGGAAAATACAAACCGTTTTGTCCGTTATATTGTATCCAGGCTATCACTATTAGGGCACTACCAAACCAATCAGTGGCCTAATTTAGTAATCACCCACCCTTAATCTTAGCATTGCACCATGAGTCAATCACATCAAGATTCAGCCACCTCTGAAAAAGCTCCGCTTACGACTGCATGAGGCTTTGGGGGGACACCTAGATACAAGCCATAACAGATGTCCTTCTGTATTCCTGATGTAGGGGGCAATGAATCTTAGCATATTATTTTAGATAAAATAGTTTTGGTAAAAGCCTACATGGTGCCTTGGGAAGCCTCCCAG